TGACAGTGGTTCAATGCACCCTCTGTTTCAATGAGGTGCTAACTTAGGCAGGAGGAAGTTGTGAGAAATATTTTGTTCTTTCTTCAATAATTTCTGATCTTTAGTGTTAATCCATTTTTTCTATAGATACATTCAGTTCATTTGATTTGTGCTTGAGCCGAATGATGAAAAATTATCATGTACGGGGATACCTCTAGGTTATCTACAAAAAAATAGGGAAAAGTTCAAAAACTCCCTTGTGGTGTTGTTTTGAATCACTTATTACACCCTTGTGCTCTTTATTCAATTATTTAGCACGCTATGGTTTTTTCACTCCTCTTTAGAAACATAACTAAATATATCTATTTTATCCTTCTTAGAAGAAAAAAATAAAATAATGAAAAAAAGACCAAATGTTATGAAAATTTAGAACACTTAAGAAAAGTCCGAAAGAAAAAAAGGATCAAATGTGTTTGAATAAAAAAAGAAAATAGATTAAGGACAAAAAATAGAAGAAGAAAAAAACAAATAAGTTGAAAATTCAGAACAGCACCAGAAAAGACTAAAAAAAAAAAAAATAGTCTAATGATAAATATATATATATATACTGAAGACAGAAAAATAGAATATAAAATCAAGATAAAAAATAAAATAAAAAAGAAATAGAACAAAAACAAATCACTGTTGTGAATTTTTAATATATTTGATTTTTTTTTCCTTTTTTTTGTTCTTGTCTATTTTATTTAGATATGTTTGGTCTTTTTCTATTTTTATTTTTTCACTTTTTGAGTTTTTATCGCTTTTGAAAAAAATAGAAGAAAAATAAGATAAAATATAAAAAAAAGAAAAAGAAATCAGCGTGATAAATTTCCAACGTATTTGATTTTTTTTCCTTTTTTTAGTATATTTTATTCTTTTTTATTTAGGTTTATTTGATCTTATTTTTTCTTTTCTCTCTTTTTTGTATTCGGTCTATTTTTTTTATTCAGACTTTTTATTTATTTTTTTACTTTTAAATTTTTTTGTCACTATTGTGATTTTTCAATATATTTGGTCTTTTTTATTTAGACACATTTTAAAAAAAATTCTTCTATTTTTTTTCTTTAAGTCTTTTATTTAAGGGTTTGCTTTTTCTACCATTAATGTAGATAACTTATCTACATTGAGCCCAAAACGATGTCGTTTTGAGGCGGAAATCAAGATATTTTTGTAATTATAATTTATTTCAGGGTTATAATAGTCTTTTTTATTATAATTTTTTAATTTTTCAACCCAAAACGACGTCGTTTTGGGATAACTTATTTACCTTCACTGTAAAAACATTAAAACCTTTATATATTCCAAGTTTTATAATATTTGATCTTTTTTTATTATTCTATTTTTTTTTTTCTAAAAAGGGTGAAGTAGATATATTATTTAAATTTCTAACCACGTTAAGAAGGGATGTCAGTCTTACCCACTTGTAACAACATAACTTTGTCGATTTTATCGTAGGAAGAAGAGACTTATTGTGAATAGAGTAATAAGAGTAGCGAGAAATCGAGAACATATACTTTGCTGTTTTTTGTTGGAGTTGAACTGGTGTTGGGCTCTTGATTAAAATGTTAGATGAATGAGATGGTTACAAAACTTAAAACATGGAGGATTCATTGACAAAATAACTCCACTCAAACCTTTGTGTACCCAACACAGTAATTTGAAATAGTTTTTGTTAATCTTCTATAAAATTTTGTAAAACAAAGTACATGTGTGAGACATGAAGTCCAATATTGGAGAAATTAAAGTAAGAACATGATATATAAAGTTTGTACCGAAACAATTGTCTGTTGAGTGAAGTTCTATCCATGTCATGTTAAGAGTATAAAATTGATAATGTGGACAAAATAGAATGCTGATGATGGATCATGTGGTTTTTTAAAAAGTGATGTATTGAAGGAATAGAAGTCAACGTTTCAGTAACTAATTATAATTATTTTCTTCTTGTCTTTGTCTCCAGTTTAATGAACCTTTTTTTAAATCCTATTTTTCAGCTTTCGTATCCGTAGGTATAAGTAGCCAGCGTAGCAAAAGGGTTACAGAAGCTGGCTTATGGAATTCCACATGAAAGGGTATGCCGATTCATGACTCCAATCACACATTGATTGGATCGAAAAAAACATTGTAGGAGGGCTCCTAATTGTGGGATAACCGAGTGGACTATCCTTGAATATTCTCTCGACGGAATAAATGCTCTCTCAGAACACCCAGGTGCAATCTTAAACCCTTGAAATAAGTAGAGCTAGGTGCAATTACTCTACTGACTCATTTCATTTCATTTTTTGTGCAGGGTGAGTGAGTGATTGTTCCGCTCTTTAAGAAGAACAAAGGATCCGCTTTTGCCACTACCTCTGCTCCCCACAACCTCACCACATAATTACCCAGTGTTGCATACGAGTCTTTCTTAGTTCTGTGATTTGTAAATAACTGACTTTGCATGGGAGCAATTACTCTGCTTTGCTGACTCTTTCCATTTCATTTTTTGTGCTTGAATAAAGATGAGTGGGTGAATGCTCGTGTTTAAGAGGATCAGAGCATACAATTAGTTGGCGGAGTTAGGATTTAATTTTAGCGGGATCAAAAAATTTGAGATATCAAATTTATTCAAATATTTTCGTAATTACACAAATTTATTATGAAAAAAATTTAATTTTTTAAAGTAATAGGATTGGTGTTATTTTTTAGTACAAGTACAATACTAAAAAAATAACATCAATACTATTACTTAAATTTTTATTTATTTAAAATTTAAAATATAATAAAATTAAATTAGTAAAGAAAGTGCAAATTATATGTATATATACATATTTGAAATTTTCATGTGATTTTTATGAACATTATTTCGAGTCTGTTTGGATCCTCTTATTTTTAAGTTAGAAGCTACTTATAAGCTAAAGCTAAAAAAGAGAGCTTAAAAAAGAAGCTGAAAGCTGTTTGAAAATTACATAAAAGTTTTAGCTTAAAAATTACTTAAAAGCACATATTTCAAGAAAATTGTCTCTCTCTTTATCTTTATCACTCTTTATTTAAAAAAAAAACACACAATTCAAGAAAAATAGATAAGAGCTTAAAAAAAAGCTCCTCCTAGGAGCTTTTAATTTAGAGCTTTTTTCTTCATTATAAAAAAAGAGTTTTTCGTTATAAGAGCTTTTCCCAAAACCTGTTTGGCCTAGCTTATACTTATAAGTAGCTTATAGCTTAAAAAAGAGATGATCCAAACAGGCACTTCATGTGATGTTATTGAAAATTTATTTCATGTGATCTTTGTGAATAAATTTTTTTATCTTTTATATTTTAATTTGTTTTGGGCCTATAAACTTTAGTTTGCAACTTGGTAGGCCTTACATGTCATATTAGGTTTTTTAGTTTTTTATAATAGGTCAGGTCAGACCTATAAATTAAGTCTTTAATAGACTAATAGGTCAATATGGGCTCTAAATATTTTACATAGACTTAGGCTATCGAAGCCAAAGTCTGACCTAACTTGACTTATTTATACCTCTAGCCGTGACTTGTGAAGAACGTCAACGTAGAGGGATAACAAACTTCACGATTAAAAAGAAACATGGAACAATTAGCACAAATGTCTCAAATCATTTAGATGACGTTGGGTCCACATAAATCATTTATCAGTGTTTAGATATTTTAAAAAATTTAAAAAAAAACAAACAAACAAAGAAGTTGTTAATGAATATGTACAAGAAATTTTCATACTCCATGTATATATATATATATATCTTCATTGATTTTTTCTTTAACAGTTTCTATTGATTAATCACCAAAATTTTCATTCCTGTTGTGAAATCAAATACAAATAATACCAAAAAACAATTCAATTCCCTTACTAATAGCAACGGTAGCTCTACATTAAAATAAAATTTATTTTTAAAAAGGTAGATGTAAAATAGCACTCCATTTTTCAAAGAAAATAAAATCAATAAATACAATCACACAAAAAAAAGTTGTAAATAAAAAATGGGCATGAATTTCACTCACGTTAAAAACACCCAATAAACAATTATGGTCAGCAAAGACAAATAATTTCTCTTTTACAAGGTTCAAAAATATAAATCAATTTTTTCCATGAGCGGATAATATAATTACCAATGCATATTTCTAGAATATGTATTTCTAAAATCTTGAGAAAGGAACAAAACATTGTACCTTATCGCAGAATGACTGAGTTCTAATTGATGAGTGCAAATAAGAAAAGAATAGTTACAAGAAAACCCTAATTGAAAAAAGATAAAAGAAGAAGAAGAATAAATTAAGTACACCACTAGGGATGTGGATGGAAAATGCCATAGAAAATAAGTGATTAAGAAAAAGATATAAAGATATAAGTAATTTAAAGCAATACCATAGAATGTTTTTGAACTTTTTCAAAAAAATAACACTACTAAAAGCTTATTGGAAATGGATGCCCCGTATAGTCATATGAGATTTCTATTCATATTAATATGTGACATGAAATACATTTTCAAACTTAAAAGATAGCGTTAAAAAAAAAAGAGATATTATATTTATTATTGAAAATTTTTACAACTCTTATTATTAAATTAATTACTGTTGATTTTTATCAATCTAATAATTATAATTTATCGGATATATTTATTAATTAATTATTAATTTTTAATAAATTATTTATCGAATATACTTATTAATTAATTATTAATTTTTAATAAATTATAATCATTAAATTAACGAAAATAACGGTAATTAATTTAATCATAAGAATTATAAAATTTTTCAATAATAAATATAATTGTCCCGTAAAAAAAAAATTACATTTTTAAAATCTAATCAAGTGCAAACAAGCCACTAATAAAATATCACGAGGACATTATTTTATATTCCTGTCCACACTATTTTATAACAATAAATAAGAAATTGCATCGTGACAACTGACAAGAGTCAGAGGAGTGGATGAAAACTGATCCGAGTGGTAAACCGTAAACAGCAAAGCAAGCAAACGTGTGGGAAATATGTACAATGAAGCAGAGCATCCACTGATAGAGTCAACGCTGCCACAAGAACAAGGATCAAACATTGACGACTCTCTTCTCCACCGAACATGTTTGGAATCGAAGAAGCTCTGGCACATTGCTGGCCCCTCTATCTTCAGCCGTCTCGCAATGTTCTCCATCACCGTCGTTACTCAGTCGTTCGCTGGCCATCTCGGCGACCTCAATCTCGCTGCCATTTCCATTGCCTGCACCGTCCTCATCTCCATCACTTTCGGTTTCTTGGTAATCCAAATAAACACAAATTTACTTTCACTCACTCTTATTTTCGTTGGATTTCAACCTACATTGAGTTTTTATTTATTTATTTTTTATTATCTAGCTTGGGATGGCGAGTGCGCTTGAGACCCTTTGTGGCCAAGCTTACGGTGCGAGACAGTACCACATGTTGGGCGTTTATTTACAACGTTCTTGGGTTGTTCTGTTCCTGTCTTCGATTTTGTTATTGCCCATGTTTGTGTTTGCCACGCCAATGTTGAAGTTCATTGGACAGCCCCCGGAAGTGGCGGAGCAAGCGGGTTTGGTGGCGATTTGGTTGATCCCGTTTCACTTGAGCTTCCCATTTCAATTCACCTTGCAGAGGTTCTTGCAGTGTCAGCTAAAGACCAACGTTGTAGCCTTGGTTTCAGGGGTAGCTCTTGTAATCCATGTTTTACTGAGTTGGATTTTTGTTTATAAGATGAAAGTGGGGATTGTTGGCACTGCTTTATCTATTGATTTCTCATGGTGGGTGTCTGTTATGGGAATGCTTGGGTATACCCTCTTTGGCGGGTGTCCACAGTCATGGACTGGTTTTTCTGCTGAAGCTTTTGTTGGGTTATGGGAATTCTTCAAACTCTCTTTGGCTTCTGGGGTTATGCTTGCGTTAGTATTTTTTAGCTCCCTATCACTTATATGTTGGAGTTGATGGGGTTATTAAAAAGGTGTTCATGTAACATTGTAGGTTAGAGAATTTCTATTACAGATTGCTGCTTATAGTGTCTGGGTATATGCACAATTCTGAGATTGCGATCGATGCTCTTTCTGTTTGGTAAAAATTTTACTTTCTTAGCTTTTTTTTTGTGACTATATCTTTCACTGTACCTTCATTTATTGTTTTTTTTTGCTGAATTTTGCTCTTACTTGGCAGTGTAACTATTTATGGTTGGGAATCCATGATACCGCTTGGATTTTTGGCTGCAACCGGGTATGCCACTGGTTCTATGTCTCCCTTTCTTCTGTTAAAACGTGGTAAATTATGGATTGTTGGTAAAGAGAAAACTTTTGTCTAGATTGAAAAATTAATTGGTTGAGATTGACTGAGTTGCTCCACTTGGGTAGTCAGCCCCAAGAATAGCATATTGTGTTATGTACTCTCCAAATGAAATCAATGCTCAGAAGCAGAACCCTGTGAATCCATATAAAATCATCCTTTTGTAGTTGTGTTAATTGCTCTGACATGATGGATTGATAATATTTTGAACTCTAACTTGCTTCATGAGAGTGTTACTGTTAGGGATGATATAATAGGCTATTAGGAGTGTTCAAGGAATTGTAATATGGTTAGTGATGTTGTAACAGTTTCAATGGGCAGTTACAACAGCAAATAATTAGTTAGTAGCGTTGCTGATGTGGAAATGTTAATTGATAATATGAATAAGTGGATATATGTCGGAAAATGGAAGTAATATGCAGTTTTCTCATGAAAAATTTCCCTCCTCTGAATATAGTTACTTTGGTCTCTGTTTTCCTTTGTCTTCGGTACGTATCGGTTACCCCTTCCTTATGATTGAGCATGCTACTGGATATAATTGTAAATACCAGTGGTGGTGAGAGGGAACTAAGAGCGAGGTTTTGATGTTGTTGAATCATTGGATATGATTTATATTTGTCTTATTCCACTATTGTTCTCTACTCGGTTGCTTACATGTTTTGTGTCGAATTATAGTGACAGTTATTCTTACATAATAGTGGGGGGCTGGCGCTAAAAATTAGTGTGGTGAATCATGAGGTGTTTATTTGTCATTTAATGTTGTTAAGAATTTTCTGGAGTAGCGTTGTTTTCTTTCCCCAAAAATTGATTGAGGGCCTAGCATCTTTTGATGATCAATTCTGCTTCCTGTAAACATTCTGTTAAGTTTCCAAAATCTATTAGAATTTCCCAAACACATTCAGCATGTTTTCAATTCTCAGTATGTAACTGGAGACTTGTGACTAGACATGCACTAGTTGATCTCCTGGAGATCATCGTCCATATCAAGTGTGTATACACCTTTTGCTGAAATCTATGAAGCATTTTCATATTTTAGTAGTTTTTTGAGTCGCTCGATATAACCTCTAGAAAAGTAAGGATGCTGATATTGAGGGGTCGAGAATAACAGATCGACATTGACTCCCCTAAGTTTAGTAATTGTAACATCTGGAATATTTTACAAGTATCTGGTTATTTTATAAGCTTCCAAAAGTTTACGACATTCGTCCAAGTAAATCTGGAAGTGCTTCAAGAAAAATTCCGTAAGTATGTATATTTGAAAAGGTTTCAAGATTTTATTTTCCATTTTTTTTAATCAGGAATCAACTTTCTTTTCTTTTAGTTTACATGAAACTTCTGAAAAATCTATTGGCTTTATTGGAGACATTGGTCTGGTTTAAGGGAAACTGTACAAGTATATGCTTTTATTCTGTCTGTGATGCAGCATCAGCTAGTCTTGGTAGAGCGTGTTTTACAAGGTCTATAAATATATATCGTAGATGTAGTTTCGTGACAGCCAACCGTTGTCTGTTTGTCAACAAATAATATCAAACATGTTTTCTTCATTATTATGTCTTGCCAAATAATTTTAGAAGTAAAATTTTTATCTGTTTAATGTAAAAAATGAACTCTGCCTCAGTACAAAACCAATTAATTTTTCCTCCACTTTAATCATTTAACATGCTTCAACTCAGGGTGCGTACATCAAACGAGCTTGGAGCGGGCAATGCAAAAGAAGCAAAATTTGCAACGGTGGTTTCAGTGGTAAATACTGTAATAGTGGGATTTATATTTTGGTTGATAATTGTGGCCTTTAATGAGAAGCTTGCTATGATCTTTACATCGAGCTCGTCTGTTATCCAAATGGTCAATGAACTCGCACTCCTGTTAGCTTTTACCATTCTTCTTAATTGCATTCAACCAGTTCTTTCAGGTCTAATATACTTCATGAGCACTACTCAACTCAAATGTCAATTTTCTGAACTAGAGAAACAATTTTTTAACGTTGTCCCTACTCAAACAGGTGTTTGTTGTTTTCAGGGGTAGCAGTTGGATCTGGTCGGCAAGCAGTAGTGGCTTATATAAACATTGGTAGTTACTATGTGGTAGGATTGCCTCTTGGGGTTCTTCTAGGCTGGTTGCTACCTTCGCCTATTGTTGTAAGTGCACATAACATATACTTCTGCAGATTGAACTTAATATTCCACTCTTGCGTTAGTTTCTATAATTTTACTCCATCATATGCCAATTATTGATGCGGATGATGTGATTATATTTTCTATGGTAATTTAGTATTTTTCGACCTCAGGGTATGTGGATTGGAATGATGAGTGGAACGGTGGTTCAAACATTGATCTTGACTATTATTACGATGAGATATGATTGGGAAAAGGAGGTAAGCTTTCTTTGATGAGTATTCTGTTTGTGATTTGGATGAGATATGATAGGGAAAAAGATTAGTGGAACGGTTGTTCAACCACTTTGAAATGAAAGCATACTATTTTGGTTTCTCTGATAAGTGATATCATTACTTGTGAAAAAAATATGAGTGGAACGGTGGTTCAAACACTTCGAAAATGAAAGCATACGATTTTTCTCTCTCTGATAAGTGATACCATGACTTGTAGGTACGGAAAGCCCAGATTTTTATTAAGGAGGAGACAACCTCCAACCAGTAACACAGGTGAAATTCATATTGCACTAACTCTTAAGATATTACTTTGCTATTTAAGATAATTTTATTCTTTGCCTCTTAAAAGACCACCTCAATTACTGATTTATGATGCTTTACTAAGAAATTTTTAGATCTCTCGAAGCATGTATTTTTTATATGGCTGAACCTCGATGCACATTTCACATATCTTAGTGCAATTAAAATCACTAAAAGCTTATTCTTCAAGGATATCCAATAATTGTTCTGTTAAAAATGCATGTATGCTGTATCCCAAAACTGAAATATGCATGTTTGCACCTCACGTTTATTTTTTTTTTTATTTTAAAAAACATTAATTGTGGTATATTGCACCCTATTCACAAAAAGTAACCATGATTTAATGGTTAAATGTATTTTATTTATTTATTTATATTTTTTAATTTAATGAATAAGGTTAAATCTTCTTTCTTTATTAAGTATTGATTTTATATTTTCTATCTTTATTCAACTCTTTACTTTCATCATTAAATTAGGTGATCATAAACCATTAAAAAAAAGTGAAATCAATTATTGTATATAAATATTAGTGCAAGAGTTTTTAATTTTATACCAATATACACTACCATTAATATCTATGAAATAACATTTTATTAGATAATTTTTTGTTTACAAAGCTCAAAATTCACTATCAGATTGAAAATTTTGACCATATATATAAAATTTCATAATAATTCAAAATCATTTAATATATTAGTGATATATGTCAAAACAAACATAATATTTTTTTTTGAAATATTTAAAATAAAAATTGATTAATTGCATTCTTATGCATGTTCAAAATAATAAATAATTATAATTAAATGGTTAAATTGGTTAAAATTATATTTAAGAAAAACTTATTGAGTGGTACAAGTATGTTAAATTTTATACTTGTGTGGATTAATTCGTTCCATGTATAATAATTTTGATGTAATAATTCAGCATCATTCTATTCTATTTAATGAAGAAAATAATGAAATCTATATTACTTAAGAGAAAAAATGGTGTTTTGACTTGATAGAAAGAGAATTTAGTAAAGACTTTATTAAATAAAAATACTGTAAAAAGATTTAAAAAGTATATTATTTGGACAGCTGATTGTGCTGGATGTCCCTCCAACGGCTTGTTTGGAATTGCTTCGTAATGACTTGAGGGGAGTTAGTCTCCTAAGATTGTGCCCAATATAGGGCTTTTTTTTTCTTTTTTTTTTTTTTGAAATATAGTATAGGGCTTTTTTTGATGTTGCTTTAGTTTTCATTGCATTTCTAAAAAAAAAAAAAGTATATTATTTTAATTATTAATATTTAAGGTAATGTTTAACTATATTAAAAATTTTAAATGTCTTCCTTACTGCGTAATTAATATGGGTTTAATATTTTTTCCGTGACCTGAGAGAAAGCTATTATAGCAAAGTGATTGGGAGAGTTTACCCAAAAAAAAAAAAAGTGATTGGGAGAAAAAAAATAAAAATAAAAAATAATATAATTTCAGAATAAATTATTCTTTCAAATTTAAGAGAACGTTATTTTGGATTTATAAGAGATGAGTTATCTCCTTACTATAGAAATATTGTGCCCAATTAATATACACAATCACAAAAACTTTGATTTGTAAAAAAATAATAAATATTATAAAATGTTTAAAACAGTTGAAATTTATATATTAAAGTATTATAAATCCTGAATCAACGGAAAAAGTTTAATGTTATAAATAACATTTGCGACTGAATTCATTTTATAAATTTTTGTAAATAATATATAAATAAAATAATTTGTAACTACAGAATAAAAATTTCAAAAATGTGTTATCAAAAAAAAAAAAAAAAAAATTCAAAAATGAGCTATAAATTTTCTTTTTACAATTAATACTCAAAGTTATATGATTTAAAAATGGACAATATATATGAATATAACGATTTTATAATGTTTGAGAAGATTTTTTTTAAATATCTATTTATGCATATATTTTTTTTTAATTTAGACCCAAATTATCTCTTTATTAAAGTTAAGCCGTTTTTTTTGTCCGTTTAATAATGTGATGTTTATATTAGATGTAAGCGGATCCCGTAATATTTATAGGGAAATAGTTTGTCATGTTACATGACAACAAACCATTTTTCCTATACACATATAGGAGTGGCAATACAGGTATTGACCCGCGGGTTGATCCGTGACCCGACCCGCCAAATCACGTGTCGTATCAGGGTTGTGTAAATGTGACCCATTTTTTTCGTGTTGGGTCATGTGTCAACCCGCGGGTTCGCGTGTCAACCCGCACAGTGTCATTTTTTTATTTTTTTATTAAATATTTTATTATATTATTATTTTTATTCATTCATATATTGATATATATAGTCATTGTTTAGTATAGAAAAGAATAGAAGGAACTAAAAATCTCAAAAAACAGAAGCTAATCTTTTTTTTTTTATTGTTTTTAATTTATTTATTTTTCAAAAAATCTCACTTTTTTTAAAATTTTAAATTTTGCGGGTCGTGTCGTGTCGACCCGTGACCCGCAACGGGTCGTGTCAGGGTTTGTGTTTTACGACCCGTTTATAAAACGGGTCGTGTCAAATAGTGTACGGTCAAAAACGTGTCGTGTCGGGTTGATCTGTATTACCACCCCTATACACATAATCCAAGCTGGGTTCCACCTTTGATTTTTTTTTTCACTTTACTATTTAATGAACCACACATATATCTTGAGTGTGTAGGAAAATAAAATCTTGTCATGTAACATTACAAAAACAAAACCCATATTTATATTAGGTAACACAAAGAGAGAGAGAGGTATCCACTTGAAAGATATATGGATAAAGCACTAATGCGAAAGCTAGGGACAGTGACCAAAATGTCATGCTTTGGCAAAAAAAATACCAGAATGTCACGCAAATAGTAAAATTTCTCAAACTGCCACGCGGCATAATTCGCTACACAGTGTAGCGAAATGCAAGTAATTCGCTACACAGTGTAGCGAAATATGCCACGTCAGAATGCACAGAACAAAAAAGTGTCATGTGTCAGAATTGTTGGAATTCGCTACATAGGGTAGCGAATTTCAACAATTTTGACACATGGCAATTTTTGGTTCTGACGTGGCATATTTCGCTACACTGTGTAGCGAATTACTTGCATCCATAATTCGCTACACTGTGTAGCGAATTATGCCGCGTGGCAGTTTGGGAAATTTTACTGTTTGTGTGACATTCTGATAATTTTTTTGCCAAAACGTGATAAAATGGTCACTTCCCCGAAAGCTAGTGGAAAAAAGTTTTGAATTTGGAGGGATGGCTTTGTTCACGTAATTGAAAAATAGAAAATAATTATTTAATTGATTTTTAACACAGAGAGAGTGTGTAAGGGAATAATGGGATCCAATTGAAAGATAAACTGATAAAGCATTAATGGGCGACACATACACACAGAAAGAGATAAATAAAGTTTGTGTGTTGAAATAAAGCACTAAAAAGCGAGCTTGGAAAAAGTAAAAGTGGATTCTGAAGGGGTATCTTTGTTCTCGCGCGTCAATAAAAAAGAAAAAGAAAATGATTAATTGCCTCTCTCTTTTTTCTATTTTTAGGGAAGTATATTTACAACGACAGGTTATAAATATAGCTTTTGATCTGATAACTAAAAATGCTTGTGTAAGTATAAATTATTCATTTATGGACACTTATGTTTAATAAAATAACTATTTTGATTTTGAAAATGGAACTCATGATATTGAGAACTTCTCCAATTATAAATCAATGATGAATTTTTTTTACATTTTATTTTAATGCATTTTTCAATTATCATAAGAAAAGGAGAACTCTTTAGTATTTAAAATGGGTTTAGTGTGTGTAATTTAAAAGGACACAAGTTGTATTCTTTAGTGACTTACACAGAGTATGATCGGTCATACTGTGTATAATTATGAAAAGTTATTTTTTTTACTTTACACGTCAGTGATGTGACTGAGGAGAGAAAAAAAAGTAACTTTTGAGATTTACACAAAGTAACTTTTGAGATTTACACAAAGTATTAAATTTAAAAAAATATTTAATACTTTTTTTTTTGGGTATACCAACCCTAATTACCTTTTTATTAATACTATTATTGAATAATGAAAATGATTCCTTGGAAGGACATCAAATAAAAAAAACGTAATCTCCATATTAATAAATAATTAAAAGGAGATTCAATAGTCTACCCAAAAAAGGAAAAAAAAAAAAAAAAAGGAGATTCCATCATTTTTCATGGATTATTCCAAAAGGAGGTTACCAAATTTGACTAGCATGTGACCTTCCGCTCAAAGGAGATTTCAGTATTGAAAAATTAAGTAATAAACAAAGGGAAAAATATTTCTGCAGTTACTACAGATAAAATATTTGTATTTATTTTCAAAACGATGTCGTTTTGGTATTGAAATTTTAAAAAATTATAAATATAAATATATTATAACCCTGAAATAAATTAAAATTATAAAAACACCATGATTTTCACTCTAAAACGACGTCGTATTAGGCTTATTGCAGATAACTTATCTGCAGTAACTGCAGAAAAAACGAACACATAAACAAAAGCATTAAAACAAACAAAGTGCAGCACTCTCTATTCAAACTTTTAAACGTATATGATTTTAAATGATATAAAATTATATCATTTTAGGTGAGAGAAATAAATAAATGATGGAAGAGAAATTGATAAGAAAATTTTTTAAAAGTATGAATCTCATTTTTTTATGAAAATAAAAGAACACAAGATATATCATTTAAAATGAAAGTATCCAACTTTTAAAGTGATCTACGCCAGAGAGCAGAGGATGAAGTCGATCTATTTACTTATCCAACTTTTAAAGTGATCTAGGCCAGAGAGCAGAGGATGAAGTCGATCTATTTACTTATTTTCATGTCGTTTTGACTTTAATGTGCTAACCAATATGTGCCTCCACTGGCAACACGTTTATCCTTTAATCACTGCTAACGTTTTCTGGGTGCCAAGGTTAAATTTAGTCATGAAAGAGACAGCCTCGTACCATTACTCCGTTAGTATTGCTGTTTCTCAACCACCCCGCGCTCTAACTACCTTAAATACTGGCACATATTGATCCACATTATTTTTTCAGCGACACCAAGGACGGCTGCGATCCGGCTTCACTCTGAACATTATAAAGCTTACAGTAACTTTTGTACTTTGCCACTAGCAATAATCAATTATTGTTAAATTATTCTTCTATTATGTGATGCATTGATATTTCAAAAATTCTGACACGTCATGTTTGATATTTTTTAATACTTTTCAAAATTTTGACATTCTAATATGCATTGCAGAGACTCAAAAAAGATTCAAAGATTGCATTATATTGCTTTTTTAGTTTCAACTGTTAGATTCGTTAAATTACGATTATCATTTTATTGATTTTAATAAAAATATTTGAGATATCATGTTTCTTTACAAAATTGATAGATATTATAAATTTATCTTTATTTTTTTGTTAAATTATTAAATATTAAATATAATATATATTATATAAATTAAAAATATTATTTAATATTAAAATATTTCCTAACGTATAAAAATATAACATTTTTTAGAATTAACGTTACAAAATATCATATCATGTCATATATCATATCCTGAATTGATGTCCGTACAACATAACTTCGTACAACACAGGCTCTATTATTTGTGATCACAACTCATTCCTTGTCAACGTAACGGGGCGGGGCGGGTTGACCCGCCAAAAAATATGAGTTGTAAAAATGAACCCATCCCGTTTTATGGTGGGTTGACGGGTTGACGGGTCAACTCACCAACCCGCCAATTAAAGAAAATTTAATTAAAATTCAAAAATAAATTATATTTTATGAATTTTTTTTAATATTATTTTATTTTATTTCACACTTCTCTATATTTTTTTTAGTCTCAATCTTAAATGTATACTAATATTTGTCAAACATTCTTTAGGAATTTATAAATAGATAACATTTGTCATAAATAAAATTGTTATTCTTTATTTTTTCTAGAAAGTACTAAGATAAAAAAAAATTGAATATCACAAAAATTTAAGTACTAATAAAATACTACCTAATTGTAAAAAAATAAAAAAAATAATAAAAAAATTTAAAACTCGGCGGGTCAACCCACCCCGCGGCGGGTTGAACCCATTTTGACCCACTTCTAGGCGGAGCGGGTTGAGGTGGGTTGGTGGGTTGAAAATCTCAACCCAACCCGCCCCGTTTTGGCGGGTTGGCGGGTTGACCCGCCGGGTTCAACCCATATTGCCACCCCTAATATAGTATGAGAAAAGTGTTTCTCCTATTAAATGACACAACTTGTGTTATTTCACTCTCACAAAGAGGTAGGACCCACACTTTTATATTTTTTTGTCCACTCTATCTTCTCCTTTATCTATCTCTTTCTCTTACTTAAAATAAAATAATTTTACATCCTTTAAAATGATACACACTTTTTCCATATAGTATTTACTTAATTTTATTTTGATTTTCGCTTAATTGTGAACAACCATTTGTATTAAGAAATTATCATTGCAAATTTTTGTTTAAATGCTTGTTGACTCTTTAAGCTTTTTTGTGAATAATTATTTTCTTTTTAAGTTTTATCCAAAATTGATTTTTATAAAAAAATAAGGTTTAAGTTTTCTTATGTTGTAGGATTGTAGGAGAAAAAATAAATAAAGAGAAGTTAAATGTGGATCCCATATTTTATATTTAAAAAGAAAAAAAAATTAATTGGCACGGAAAACGAATTTGTGTAGAAAGATGATTTACTCTCATGTAGCATGAAAATATTATTTCCCAAAAAAAAACGTATAATTATATTTTCTGTTTTTTATAAAAAAAATAAGGCAAAATAACTTCTCATCGAGGAAAATGCTCTCCCTCATATCACTTTCATATAAAAAAACGTACAATTATATTTTGTTTTTTATTTTTTAAAAATTGATGGGCACACTTGAGTTGTTTTTGCAGCTGCACGAGAAATGCAATGCCCAAAATTGAATTAGTTTAAATACACAGTAAATCATGTCCTTTTCCCTTGTAAACTTTTTGGTACTCAAAACATTTAATGATAATGAATCATAACATTACAGTAAATCTTATCCTTCTCCCGCGTAAACTTTTTGGTATTCAAAACATTTAATTATAACCAATCATAACATTATATTTCCGTTTGGATTTCCAAATTCGACATTCAATGCATTTATTTCGTTTTCCTTACAACAAATGAATTTGGTTTTCACTGCTAATGTTAGACACCCCTTTTCCACAGAATGAATGCGTGTATCTGTCTTTCGTTTTAGAAGAGAAATAATAACACCAAGGAATGTCTTAATAGCACCGATATAATAGAAACCAAAAAATGACCAGCGACGCGGACGCTTGATAGCAAAACCAGTAACAATATACCTAACAAATAATGGTAACTCAGTTGGAGCTAGAGAAAGGCAGGGGTAATAGAGTATGTTTGATCTTTGTTAGGGGTGTAAATAGATTAGGCTAGGCTAAGCTTTAACTTAAATAGGTCAGGCCTATTTAAAAAATATTGGGTATGGTCTGGCCTATTAGCCTGTATAGGTCTCAAATTACAAGTATGGCCTGACTTATATTTAAAAAATGAAAACTTTGACCTAGGCCTATTAACCTGTTTAAATCTATTAAATATTCAACAATTAAAAGAATAATTAAAATAATATTATTTTATTATTCAAAATTATTAAAATAATAGTTTTATTTAAAATATTTTAAATAAATAATATGATATAGGCTCACTTTAAGCTTATAAGCTCAACATGTACAAAAAAAGCCTATGACCTGTTTTCTAAATAGATTTTTTTAAAAACCTAGACTGTTTTATTTTATTATTTATAATAAGCTCAGCCTGGTCTAATATAGTCTAGGCCATAGGTTCCTGTAGGACAGTCTCGCTCATTTACACTTCTAATCTTTGTGAATATATTAATTCTGGATTCGCTCCGAATCTAATTAGTAATGTGTCTATTTGAATATCTCAAACTAAAAAATAAAAATAATTAACAATATAGCCGGTGAAGAGGGGAAAAAAAGGCGTGCCTAATCACGCATCTGGGAGTGGAAGAATCCAATTCGAAGTTGAAGACTCAGCTTTTTATACATAAAGCATTAATAACGTCACGGGATCAGGCATTTACGAATTGCGGTTCGAGTCCTCTAGAGGCAGCATGGGTGGTAGCTTGGTGAGAAACGATGAAGATGCCAATCTTACCGAATCCCTTTTGCCAAAAGAGGTGGCCGTTGTTCATGGACGTCATGAAGAAGACCAAACTCACGAGGAACACGATTTTTGCAAGAAGCTGTGGATTGAAACGAAGAAGCTATGGCTCATCGTGGGTCCCTCTATCTTCAGCCGCGTGGCAGCATTCACAATGAACGTTGTTACCCAAGCCTTCGCCGGTCACCTCGGCGATGTTGAACTCGCTGCCATTTCTATTGCCAACACCGTCATCGTCGGCTTCAATTTCGGCCTCCTCGTAAGTCCTACGTAACTCCCAAGTCCCAACACATACCACGAGGTTCTGTCTTGTTCTAATTTTCTCATTTTTTTAATTCAAATAATTTAATTTCTCTGTTCCGTTTAGTTGGGGATGGCGAGCGCGTTGGAGACACTGTGCGGGCAAGCGTTTGGGGCAAAGAGATATCACATGTTGGGTGTGTACATGCAGAGATCATGGATTGTTCTCTTCCTCTGCTGTTTCCTGCTATTGCCGTTTTATGTTTTCGCCACACCGTTTCTGAAATTCTTAGGACAACCGGATGACGTGGCAGAGTGGAGTGGGGTTGTGGCTCTTTGGCTTATACCGCTGCACTTCAGTTTTGCTTTTCAGTTCCCTCTGCAAAGGTTCCTGCAGTGCCAACTCAAGACCAATGTCATTGCTTGGGTTTCCTTGCTGGGTTTGATTGTTAACGTGGTCACAAGCTGGCTCTTTATATATGTGTGGGATTTTGGACTTGTGGGTGCGGCTATTTCTTTGGACATCTCATGGTGGGTTTTGGTGTTTGGCATGTTTGCTTATACTGCTTGTGGTGGATGCCCTTTAACTTGGACCGGTTTTTCCTTGGAAGCCTTTTCTGGACTCTGGGAATTTTTCAAACTCTCTGCTGCTTCTGGGGTCATGCTCTGGTATCAATTCAACAATATACTTTTGATAAGAAAGTTTTGGTGTTATTTATCGTTGGAACTAATGTTTGTGATTGGTGCAGCTTAGAGAACTGGTACTACAGGATACTGGTACTAATGACTGGCCAGTTGGACAATGCCACTATTGCCGTTGATGCCTTGTCTGTATGGTAAGTTATTTCTTCACCTATTCTATCTCTTTAATGTTATGTTTTCTAACCGCTTCATTGCACTGGGTTTTGGTTTTGCAGTATGACTATTAATGGTTGGGAAATGATGATTCCACTGGCTTTCTTCGCCGGTACAGGGTACGGTTTTGATTTTCATTCTTCCACTGAATTCAGCTTTTGATTTTCATATAGAATTAGATTAAAATTTAAATTCCAAGTAAAGAATGGTAGTTGGCTGTAGCCTGTAGATATATATATATGCATGTCACCATCTAGCATTTATGCATATTACGAGCTAGAATTCGCTTGACTTCTAGTCAATAGGTAATAGGTATAATTAATTAAGATCCCTTGTTTAAGAATTCCTCACCCATCTTTGGTATTTCTGATGACATTCATTGATTTCCTCTCTACTTTTTCCTGTATGACTGTATCAATAAATGTCATTAATTTCCTTTCAAAATATTAATTGTTTAAATTTTTTTTTATTAGGATTGAACAAATTATTGAATATTTTTAATATTAAAAAAATACAACTTTATTTAAATAAATTATTATTTTTTACTTTATTAATGCTTTCTCTTAATTTTCAAGTACAAATATTATAGGACAAAAATAAAATAAATATTTTTTACCTTTTCAAAGTGAAAAATAAAATGAAACAAAATTTCTTCGTTAAAATAACTAAATGTTAAAATTTATATAGTAATTTTGTTTTAAGTCAAGAGCCTTTATTTGCCAGAAAAAATTGGACCATTCGACAATGATTTGTTCAGTTTATTATATAGTATGTATACAAATAATTAAAATTCTAATTTATTAGTTATTTATTTCATTGAATTGAACCATGAATTGTCCATTGTGATTTACAGAGTAAGGGTGGCGATTGAGCTAGGCGCAGGCAATGGGAAATCAGCGAAATTTGCAACGCAAGTATCAGTGGCAGAATCATCGGTGATTGGGCTCCTTTTCTGCGTAATCATAATGGTATTCCATCAGCAGTTTGCATACATATTCACCTCCAGCTCATCTGTCCTTCAAGAAGTGGACCATATGTCATTCCTCTTAGCAGTCACCATTCTTCTCAACAGTGTTCAACCCGTTTTGTCAGGTAAATAAAATATTCACATTTAGCTAAATGTGGGACCCACCAAAAAGGATCTAAAAAGTCCAAGGAATATAAGTTCCAAAGTTCAAGCATGGTGCACCCGATCTAACTTATTAAAAAATCATTAAAGTTTTGGAGTAATTGAAAAAATACATACAGATTCTTATTCATGAATCATGACTTGCATGACGGAGGTTCAATATTTTTTGCAGGACATTGTTTATAGATATTGTAAAATTATATTTTAATATATTAATTTTATTTATACAAATTTTTTAGATTATTACTGGTAACTTGATTATAAGAAATAGTTCAAAATATATTTTATAATAACCTTCTTCATTAAATAATTAGTAAAATTTTGCTTGAGTTTAGCAACTCAGAAGTTATTAAATTTATTAAATAATGTGATAACACAACTAGAAAATGTAATAATAAAAAAACTATAAATAGTGCATATAATTTTTTTTTAATCAAGTAAAAACTTCTATGGCTCATGGTTTTATATATAATATAGATATTGATCTAAATGATTTCTTATGTTGAAGTCTCGAAGAGTAATTGTCATCATAATATTTGATATTAAATATAGGAGTGGCTGTTGGATGCGGATGGCAAGCTTTCGTAGCATACGTAAATATTGGGTGCTACTACCTTATTGGGCTTCCACTTGGAATTCTCATGGGATGGGTCTTCAACAGTGGTGTGACGGTACGTATCTCAGTTACTTAATTATCAAAAATTTGTCAAAACATATCTGGAATGGAATGAATTCTCTCGTGTGAACAAATGATTATGTGGTGATATTATTTAATTATAATCACTCATTTAAAAATTATATACTTTTTTCTCACTTATCTCATCATAATAAGTAATTGTGATTAAATACTATAATCACATAATTACTTTTTCACATGAAAAGATTCATATGTGTTTGAATAATTTGGAAGCCGTTTGCAAACATGAGAATGATGTACTACGTGGCAGGGCATTTGGGGAGGGATGATCTTTGGTGGCACGGCAATCCAAACGCTGATACTGATCATTATAACAGTGCGATCTGATTGGGAAAAGGAGGTACAGTTCAACATAAATAAACTTGCTCATTCTAATCCATTGGAATTTAGCACCAATGGTCGAAGTTGAAAAATCTATATCGATAGCATGGGTATGTTGTAATATTTTGTTTTGATTGCATTTGCAGGCTGAAAAAGCTCGCTCAAGCGTAAAGAAATGGTCAACCTCTAACCCTGATGACCAAGTGAAAACCTCCAGTATTTAGGGCATGTTTGAATTTTATTTTTAAAAATAGTTTTTTGATTTTTTTTTTAATAAATATTTGATAAGACCTATTTTATAAAAACAGTTCTAAAAATTATAACTGTTTTTTTAATTTTTATAATTAAATTTAGAGAATATATCTTAGTTACTTTTTTTTGTATTTTGATTTTAACTTTTAAAATAAAAAAATCCAGAAAACACCAATTTCATTAATTATTCTATAAAATAATTTTAATAAAAAAAAATACAATCAAACAGACCGTTAATATTAGATTTAGCTAATGGAGTTTTCTCCATCACCAATCCGGCGTCTATTGTTGGAGTTTTGCCATTGTATGTATATACTATATAATATATTCTTCCAATTCACCCAGATGTGATTCAAAATAAGCCTTAATATTCTTTAGGTTATATATTTTTCCGTTGAACTTTTGGAGTCATCACTTCTTATACAACTGTCTTTCCAACATAGGCCTTGTTATTCTTCAGTATAGATTTTTTTTTTTTATACATGTATAGATATTATTTTATATCCTTTAGCTATAGAATAAATATAGGTAGGGGTGCAAAATAACTAAAAAAATTGAACCGAACCATGAACTGAATCGCTCTTAAAATAACAGGTTTTTAAAAATCAATTCATGAACCGAACCGATTTTTAAAGAACCAGTTCATGAACCGAACCGGTTTTAGAACCAGTTTAAGAATCGAATCATTTTGAACCGAACCGAACCGAACTGTTTTCAAACCGAACCAAATTGATTTTTATAACTTTATTTTTTAAATTTTAATTTTTCTTTTCTTTTCAAAAGAGGGTAGACTCGAACTGGATCCGAACCAGTTCCGAACCAAATCGAACCGAACCAGTTCTGAACCAAACCGAACCATTTAAACCAATTCGGTTTGGTTTTTCAAAAAATTCGATTCGATTTTTTAAAAAATTCGATTCGGTTTGACTCATACACATCCCTATATGTAGGAGGAAGAATAAGAAGATGAGGGAAAGTGATGCTCGTAATTTTCGCGTTTTATATTTATTTGATTCTTTTTGGTCGTCTATTAAAACAATTAGATAGAGAAGTTTTCCTTTTAATTACCATTCGGATTGTTGAGAAATACAGCAAGTATTTGAGGGAATAAAAAGAAAGTGGGGATGAAAATTGAAACATATGAGAAAGGTGATTACACACGCACGCATACATATATATAAAAGAAGTTTGACATAATATATATTTTGTTAGAATTAATTTTGAATTAATTATGTTTATCAATAAGAAGTTAGATATGGAAAATGTGTATCGTTTCGTCGTCGAACGGATGTGTCTTTTCATCGTCGAACAAATGTGTCTTTTCATCATTGAACTGATGTGTTATTAAAATCGTGACCTTACGATTTCTATAAATACATAGAAATTGAAATTTTAAGTGAAGAGTTTTTTGCTTATTGGTTTTACACATTTCTTGCATTTGTATTCTTCCACTCTAGTGCGATTGGTCATACATGATTTGAGTTCGATGTGGCTATTCTATGTGAAAGTGTCGCCACGATAATAGAGGTAATCTGTTCTATCGTCGGAGAAAATTATTGATGAATCTTGGGCACATAGTAAGGGCAAAATTGTCTTCAGGACATTGTCTATCACTGGGCTCACATTTTTTCTTGTTACATTCATATATTTTTGTATAGTATGCTTTAACTTTGTGTTATTGCATATTTTACTTTTTTGTGGATATTTTATGGAACTGTGAATATGGTTGAAGTCGGTGGCAGAGCTAGGAATTTTAATGACAAGGGGAGAAAATAAAAAACACTATATTATAAATAAAATTATTTGAAATACAATATAGACCTAATATAAAAAATTTGAAAGAAATTTATTATAGAAATTAAGACCACTTCAATTAACTCTTTCTCTACGTTTTTTCATATTGTTAAACTTATCTATAATTGAATCTGTGCTAAAACTCAAAATAATTTATTTTTCAATGTATGTAATTAAAAAATATCAAGAAATTAGTCTTCCATTCTATTTCGAAGCTTGATCTTGATTATCTTCATAGTTGGAAAAGATTTTTCTATAATTGTTGTAGAAAATGGAAGAATGAGTACAAATTTAATCACTCTATCAATAAGAGGGTAAATCATGGACTTTCCAATTCTTGCTAGCCTTTGACATAATTCAGATGTAGTTGATAAATTAATCAAATCTGGATGTTTAGGAATGTCAAGCTCAAAATGTTGTAGCTCCATCTTCAAATGCAATTTTTCCTGTTCTATGAAATCACTATAATAAAATTTATCAACAAGTTTGCAAATATCATCACTTTTAAATAACTTGTGCTTGTTTCTTGGATCTAAAGTCATGCTCAAAGCAAGTAATTCAATAGTATTATCATTGAACCTGCCATTTAATTCTTGCAATTGATAATCAATTGTAGCACAAAAGATATTACCCTATAAAAATTTTCAAAAAAAAATCACCTTGTACATTTCAAGCACGACCTGTCCTTCTAATATGTTTTGCCCTCGTATTTCGAATGTCAATTTCATGTTTTGTGCAAAATTCTTGAACATGAACAGAGAAAGCATTCCAACGTGTCTCTCTTAATTTATGAAGTAACTCTTTTGAGTTGAAACCAGATGTAAAGCATTTGAAATATCTTGAGACTCTCATGGCAAAGCTTGAAAAAGAACTTTAGTAATACCCATAATTTCCTTCTTAAGTGCAATATGATAACAAAATCAAAAGATGTCAATGATGAGTGTGTATTATCTGCATCTCCACGATATGATGTTGTCTTTCCTTCATTAGAAATATTGTCAAGAACTTCACATATGACTTTAAACATTTTAAACAAACTACATATTGAATTGTAAACAAATTGTCTTTCCTTCAAGTAAATCATGAAGATTTTCCTTTTCAATTTGAGGGGAACTATATCATGCATTTTGAGGAGCTTTTTCTAAAACAACTGCTGCAACTTCTTGATTTTTGTAAGCTAATAACTTTATCAGCTCAAGAAATTTACCCCGATTAAGTGAATTTAAGCTCTCATTATCATGACCTCTAAAAGAACATCCTTGAAGAGCTAGTCATCTTGTCACATCCACAGAAACTTGTAGTCTCAAATAATTAGTTGCAATCTCATGAGAAGTAAGTTTTTCAACCAATATCTCAATATGTTGAGATTTGTTCATAAGTTCACAATATTTTTATGCATTGAGATAACATTTTTCCCAACATGGTGTAAGAAAAGCACAATTTTCTCCATCATTAAACTTTTTACAATTTCTAAATCCCTTAACAATAACTGTATAAAGTCCAAAACGACCACTGCCACCTGGTTTACTAAATAAATAACAAGGTCAACATAATGCAGCATCTTTATTTTGAGAATACTCTAACTAAGATGGAAACAAATCAAACTAAAAATGACGTTGATTCTTCTTTGGCCCAGAAAAAGAATAATTTTGAAGCTTACACTAAAATGGACCAAGTTTAAGATAAGCACGATGAACTCCATCTTGTTGATTTATAGGATATTTCCATATTGGAAGGCGTAGTGCGAGATCTCTTTCCAACGAAGCAAGATCAACTTCTTTAACTACCTCTTTATTTTAAATTCTAGGTGACTTTGAAAAAGGAGTCTCAGTCTTTGATAATTCAATATTAGAAGTAGACGTGGGCAAAAACTCACCATTCTTACTCTTAAAATAAGAATCAATGGTAGCACTAGAAGATTAAGAATAATGCTACCATTGATGAAATAATTTATGTTCTTTGTAGGTGATTATTCTTAAAATAAGAATCAATGGTAGCACTCTTACCCATAATAATCACCTACAAAGAGCATAAATTATTTCATCAATGATAGCACTACTCTCAATGGTAGCACTTTTTTTCATAATAATCGCGTACAAAGAGCATAAATTATTTCATCAATGCTAGCATTATTCTTAATCTCCTTTCTATTTGAATTTTTTTTAATTATGTAAAATGCGATGGCGGATACAAGTTCTACACGTGTTTTTGGGCGATTACACTTTTGGTTTGGGGCTTTTGATTACATTAGCAAATTCCGGGTTTCAGAAGATTTACGGGAATGGATAAGAGCTAAAAAATGTTAGGACACCCATGTTAGAATTTGGGTTCATACTATGATAATCACTTCAGCTCCACATAGGATATCTGTATGTTCCATGCTGGAATAAACAGGGACACAAGTATTTAATGGGCCACATAAACACACAGAAAAACTAACTTGATATCATTTCTATGTTTTAGAAAACTAAATTGATGTTACCCATTGCTTAGATTTTATCTTTGAATGATCAAAATATTTGTATTTTTTTTTCTTTCCAAATACTAAATTGACATCCTTTTAAAAATTATAAGAGATAAAAAAAAAGAAAAATCTTTGAAAAAAAAACTTTCAAAAAACAAATAAAGGAAAATATATTGCTATATTAATTAGAACAATTCTCCCGTCTCACTTATTTGGGAATATCTGCAAAATAATTTGTTCTGTATCTAATATCTTGCTGTTTACACACGTCCATCCGATTAAAAATTGGGAATCAGTCAGCATAATTCAAGTTGGACAATTTTTTTTTTTTTTTTAAAAAAAAAAAACTTATCATATCTGTCTCCCACTTCTGCTTACAGAATTCCACTTCAAAAAAAAAAATTTATTTTTTCCGGCAATTACTGCAGATAAGTTATCTGCAGTAAGACTTTGTTTTGGACAGAAATCATGGTATTTTTATAATTTTTATTTATTTCAGAGTTATTATAGTCTTTATAATTATAATTTTTCAATTCCAAAATGATGTTATTTTGAAAGTAAATGCAAATAACTTATCTGCATAACTGCAAAAATATTATTCTGAAAAAAAATAAAAATCATAGTGGCAGCTATTACATACAAAACAAAGGATTAAAGGAAGATAAAAGGGTAAAACTCTCCTGAATCTCTTCTTATTCTTTATTTACAAAAATCTCTTCTTATTTTGATATACATGATATTATCTGTCTGTTTTCACTTTCATTATGCACCCAACGGTAGACACCAGACCCCATCCAAAAAGACTAAAAAGAATACAACAATAAAATAAAAAAAATACAACAAAAAAGTATAGTACTGCACCTCCTCCAATTGGAAGGTGCAGATTCCCCAATCAAAGGAAAAAGGAAAAAAAGAAAAAGCCAACTTTGAGAAAATCTTACTAAAAGTGACCGTTCCCACGGTCCCACCTGTCATCTAACCGTTGCAAAACTTGAGAGTGGGACCGGACCCAGTTGGCCCGGTTCAAGAAACGGGTTTGTGGACCGAGTCAACTCGGTGGCCTTGGTTGTCACCACCGTGAGCCACTTGCCGGCTATCTCCTCCTTCTTCATCACCCCCTTCGTCTTGATCTCTTTAACCAAATCCCAAAACCCATTGTTCTTTCTTCTGTTCACAAACAAAAGCACCAACTTTTCTTGACTCTCTTCCAATCTCTTCAAATAATCCACCAACTCGCTCAACTCTCCCACATCCATATCCTCCATTCTGTTCCCAAGTTCCTCTAACCGCAACAAAATCTCACCCTGAACGCTTCTATAATCCTCACCCACCATTCTCACCACTTCATACACCAACTCGTTCCTCTGAAGGTGCAACGACTCAGGCACACGGCTTATTTGCTCAACAAAAACCACAAGACCTTCTAGTTTATACAACAAATCAGCGTTCGAAAGCCCCAAAACCAAACACTTTCTTTCTTGCGCGTCTTTCTTGGATCTTTCGTTTAAAGAAGAGCTCATATAATAACCCAAAACTCTCGAAACCGTTAAACTCTGTTCTAGAACACTCGCGTACCATCGAACCCACGAACTCAGTTCCAACGATTCAACCTCCGAGTCATCGCGGAAGGTTGAAAGGTTAAGGAAATTGTGGCCACCATAGGAAGGGTAATGACATAGCTGGTCCTTGAGCGTGAAGGGTCCCTTGATCACAACATTGTGAAGCGTGAAAAGGCATTTTAGGGCTACGGTGGCACTTCGCGTCTGGTGAAGACGGTCCATGAGAGCGTCGATGCAGGCACGCGGTAGAACGTGTGAGCCGTGGCCGATGGCGAGCACGGCGGCGATTTTTGACTCCGACGGAGGAGCGGCGAGGCTGTGCGTTGTGGCGCGGAGGACGTTGACGCGAACGGAGGACACGTGGCGCTTCATTGATAGGGATGCTGCGATCACTGAGGCTGTGTCTTTGAGGATGTGAGCGAGATTTCTGAGCCTCTTTTGCTGGGCCATCGCAACAAGAATGTAACAATGGAAATAACGATGGAGTGTTAGGAGAATATAAAGGGTATAAATTTGGGTTCAAGAATTAGTGCTCTGTTCTGAATAATTGGCACATGAACAGAGTCAAAAGACCCTATCTCACTCGCATTTGGACACGCATACGCTTTCTATTTTATTTATTTGTGAAAATTAAAACTAGGTCCTTTTTTTCGGTAATGCCCCTAAAAGTCTCTATTATAGTTAATTTGATTGAACGAGAAAATTGAATTCAGACAGGCATTTTCGATCTTTGTGAACGCGGCCAAGGAAACTAGATTTTTTCTTTCGCGTGGATCGAAGACTATTTATTATGATGTACAAAAATAACCACTATTATTAAAATCGGATTGACCTGGTCGGGACGCTTCAGGAATTGGTAAATCGATCATATAACCGGTCTGATTTAAACAATGGATTGGTCATGCATTAGAACCAACCGGTGCGACCTAATCTGACCCAGCTGATTTTCATAAAAAACCGGTGACCCGGTCGGTGACCGGTGACTCAACCCGGTCCAAAAAAAAAAAAAATTCCAAAACTTTTTTTTTTCAAAAAAAATCACAATGGACATATTTGAATATTTTTTTTGCTTATTGACTTACATAAGTTATGTACCTACAAAACTAATATTATCTCAATTATGTACGAAAATTTGAATTAATTTATAGTTAGAGATGTCGTTTTCTGAACCTAAAGCCCCGTATCACGATCATTATATTTTTGTCTGATCTTTTGTTGGACAATAATATGTGATTTATTATTTTTTATATTAAAATATTTGAAATTTTTATCACTTTTTTTTAGATATTTGAGTATGTTTATAATTTTTAATATAAATTATAAAATTACAAATAATTACCGGGTCATGCGGTTAAACCAGTGAGCCAGTATCTCGACCGGGTCAATGACCAGACTAGTTTTGATAACATTGTAAATAACAATCTTTTTATTTAATTTGACCATTTCCATAAATAACAGCCTTATTTTTTATTTGTTTTTTGGTTTGCTTTTCTCACCTTTATTAAATCAATCATTGTTTTATTCATTTTACCGATATTTATGTAGGTTTAATTCAAAGACACATGAGTCAGTGCTATATAACCTTCGGCAATCTTGATCCTAAGGAAGGTTCGATTGATTTGCTCCTTCTTCTCAAACTAGCTGCAATCATTCATTAGAGTTAGGATGATAGATTAAGTGTACGGTGTATGATGTAAGGCTGAGTATGAGATTCAAAGGTATAAAGGCTGGAAGTGTATGATCGTAACAAGGCTCAGAGAATGTGGTTGGATACTTGGATATTATCTGAATGAATTGTCCCCATTTGATATTGCAGATGTATTTATATCAACCTTGGGATGCAATTATTGCGGTGATCGTGGATATAATCCCATGATTCGAATTTCAGATATGCCTTGTCGGGTAAAAGGGTATTCAGTCCCTCGTCAGGTGGGTTCAGTCCATTAGACCTAAATTCGGTGGGCCTCATCGGATAAATACCCGAAACAAGAATAGTAGCCAATGGGATAATATGAAAAAATCATTCAAATTATAGAGATTCAAGCATTAACGGAGTAAACAGAAATAATAATCGATAATTATAAAGGACAAAGCATTAATATTTATTATTTATATTAAATAGAGGACTATAAAATAAGCTAACAAATCATAAAATATTAGTGAATAAGAAAAATAATCTGAAATGATCTTCTAGTATTTTTGAAATTATTTCAAGATATGATCATCTTAATATTATAAAATATTTTTAAATATTTTATCAATTTCCCCCCATTTTAGCCTAATCAAAATATTCAACTATATATAGCATTCTATAATTACATCCTAATTTGTAATTGAATCCTGCAAAATTAATGTACGGTAAATAACGGTGTTATTTATATCCACTTTTTAGTATATTCTGATATGAATCTTTGGAGAGCCCAAGGTAGAATTGTAACATTCCTCGCGTTGCTCAATTGCAATCAAGAGATATAATAGAAATTATTTCTGATATCAATTGATATGAACCTTAAAAGAATCTCACCCAAAAATTAGTTATGAGATAGGAAAGCGAAAAGTTCATATAACCTCACACCAAAACCCATAATTCTGATATGGTATTCCAAGCCCCATACTTTGAAGTGGGATTGTAACGTGTTCTTTCTCTTTTATTTTTCAAGTGATAAAACAAGACAAATATCTTCCAACTCATTTTTTTACAAGGTGTAGTATAAAGAAAAGTGTGCAAAAATTGTGTACAACCATCGTTTTCTTTCTTTCTATTTTTTTTTGTTCGGGACCATATGTATGCTACTGATCTGCATTTACAAATTGATCATAAAATGGCAGTAGATAGTGAAACAACTCAAGCAAGGCATAGCAGAGGTGGCCTTCACGACCATTTGTCTTCTGATAGTCAAGAATTTGAAGGCCTGTTCATTTGATCACAAACTTGGCCTGATTTCCAATTGCATAACTGTAGATTCGGTACCAATAAATAAGAAAGAATTTATGATTAGAACTGAAATAGTACATCTCACTGAACTTTACTAGATTTTTTTTTAGATTTAAGTGTTTTAATCAAATGTACATATTAAAATTGTCAATATATATATATATATATATATATATATATATATATGTATATATATATGGCTTATCATTTCTACAACTGTCCGAGATAATTTTATCTCCGGCTACTAAATTATAACCATACAGTGATAGATCAATGGTGATAAAGGAAGAGAGAGAAAAATAGAATCATAATTATTCAAATTCAAAGGTGAATCAATTAATATAAGAAAATAAATAAACAAAACGACGTCGTTTTGGGTGGTTGGAGATAAACTTATCTCAAGTTGACAGAGAAATATTTTTCTCATATATATATATATATGGGTTTTATAAGAGGGGCTTATAATTTCTCAAGCTGCCAGAGATAACTTTATCTCCGGCTACTATATCATAACCGTACAAAGATGGATCAATGGTGATAAAGAAAGAGAGAGAAAAAGGGAATCATGATCATTCAAAGGTGAATCAATAAATATAAGAAAATAAATAATCAAAACGACGTAGTTTTGGGGGGCCGGAGATAAACTTATCTCAAGCAGCTTGAGAAATATTTTTCCCTTATAAGAGTTATGTTGTAGGAAAAGTGATTGTGTAATGTTATAGAGATTCGTTTTGCGTACCAAATTTTTTATTTTTTTTGCTTTAAAAAGTGAGGGCCCCACAAAATGTTGTGTGTAGAAAAAAATTTCTGATCATGTTAAAGGACAAACTAAAACCCCTATATATATAAAGAAAATCCCTATCACTCAATCTACATTTCATTTTTCTTTCACTTAAATAAAATGGATAGAAAGAATAGAGAGAGAAAAAGTCGGATCAGTTGAGCACTTTATTTTAGTTACTTGTATAATCAACTATCAATACAATTACTTAAGAACTAACCGGAAAAAAGTGCTTGGCTGGTTCTATTTTTACTTTTTTGGGTACACTGGCTGCCTACCTATTTTGTTGAAGTGAGAAAGAAACAAAATATGAATTGAGCTCAGAGAAAAAAAAATGTAAAAATATTTTTGACTATTTAATATATACATTTTTTCGAAATCATAGATGAAAATTATCACAAGGTGATTATTAATAAAATGTTTACAATATGTAAGATATAATTTATGGGTAATATTACTATCATGTAACATGAGAGTAATTCTCTCATGTTACAGATAGAATTCAAGTAGGACCTGCTATTTAAAAGCAAAAAAGAAAAAGAAAAAAAAGGGCACGATTTTCGAAATGAGAGAAAAGGAGATAACTACCTCATGTAAAATGAGAGTAGTATTTCCTATAATTTATCCTCACAATCTTTTAACACATTTTCTTACTCATATATTTGTTTCATAAAAAATGATAAATATATTAAATAGAGTATTTCTCATTTTAATATTTATTATTTAAAAAATGAGGGAGATTATATTTACACAATTTTCTCTTACAATATCTTACAATCAGATATTAATAATTAATTTATGCAATTTAATGATTATAATTTATTGGATTGTACTTATTAATTAATCATTGATTTCAATTTTTTATAAACACTTTTTTTTTTGTAGACACTTTTTCTAAAAACGTAGAGTGTGGTATATCTACGTACACGCAACTTAATTTCCACTTATATATATAGGCTTAACATTTCTCAAGCTGTCGGAGATAACTTTATCTCTAGCTACTAAATTATAACTGTATAAAGATGGATCAATGGTGATAAAGGAAGAGAGAGAAATGAAATCATAACCATTCAAAGGTGAATCAATAAATATAAAGAAATAAATAATCAAAACGACGTAGTTTTGGGGTGGCTGGAGATAAACATTTCTTAAGCAGCTTGAGAAATATTTTTCACATATATATATATATATATATATATATATATATATATATATATATATATATATATATATATATATATTGGGTACAATACATATTGAAGATATTATTAATGCAAAAAAAAAGTAACTTGATTGGAAGAAAACAAAAAGAACGTAAAAATTTTGATCGAATAAATGGATCGAAAGCTCAAGCAGAAGCACCGATTAGACCATGAAATTTAAATAACCATTTTTTTAAAAGGAATACCAAATAACATAATAATATATATAAGTATATAACTAGGAGGCAATAGAATATCAGAAAAATATTTCTTAATGCAAATAATTTATATGAATTTACTTTCAAAACGACGTTATTTTGGGATCGAAATATTAAAAAATTATAATTATAAAGACTATAATAATCCTGAAATAAATTAAAATTAAAAAAAACATCATAATTTTCGTCCAAAACGACGTCGTATTGGACTTACTGCAGATAACTTATCTGCAGTAAGTGTAGAAAAAACGAACCCATAGAATATTTATTTTATGACTTTGATGTTTATACAATGATTGTAGATAAGTTATCTATATTCTCTACAAAAACGACGTTGTTTTGGGTTAAAAAATTAAAAAATTATAATAAAAAAGACTATTATATTCCTGTATTAAATTATAATTACAAAAATACTTTGATTTCCGCATCAAAACGACGTCATTTTGAGCTCAATATAAAAAATTTATCTACATTGACTATAGAAAAAGAGCGAACCCTTATTTTATTAATTGCAACTTTATATTATTTTATATTAAGATTTAAATATAATGGGCAGACAATAAACATTATTAATCCAAATTGATATCAATTCAAAAAAAAAAAAAAGAGAGTAGAAATTTCATTAAAAAATAAACTTCACATAATAGAAGAGAAAAACACATCAATTGTAATATAATTCATTGTTATTTTTTTTATCCATTTAAATTTAATTGTGAACTATTCTTAATTAAGACAAGAAATTACCTTATATATTCATCTCTAGAGTTTCATAGAGTTTGGACTGAGCCGTTCAATTGACAAGCCGGTTCCTTGGTCCATCGTAGCCTCTGTTGAGATCTGATTTAGAGTTTCATATTTACAAAATCTCTTCTCTTCTGTTCCACCCAGAATGAACACTATAAAAATTTCAAATCCTAAAACCATGCAAATAAATATGTTTATATATATATTATAAAAAAAGTAATTAAGTGAAGACGAAACCTCAGTTGGTAAAAGTATAACCGGGTGTGAAACTATTCATCTTTAATCTTCATCCACCTAATCTAACCCCAAACAATCATCTAATCCTCGCGACCTGGAAATAGCCGATCCGTAGATCGTTCTTCCACGTCATCCATTGGCACCGAACCCTTCACTGATCTGGTCGAACCGGCCTTACTCATAAACGGTGGCGTCCAAGTGAACTCCCACCGGTCCGGCCGGCCGAACCGTTCGTCGGTCCTTCCAGCAACGCTGCTGCCCACGCTTCTTGTCCTGTAATCCCTCCTCCCACTGTTCTCTCGCGTAAACGTCACGCCACAACTCTTGGTCCGGCTCAGCGTCGAGTTCACCAGCTGGTTCCGCACCTCCTCCGGCAACCTCAGGGTGAACCGCTCGCAATTCTCGCCCGGTTGAATCAGCGAGTGACCGGTCGAGTGAGACCGCGGAAACCAGTTACCGATCCTAAACCCCGTTGACCTTGTCCGAGGTGAACGGTTCTGATTAACTGAATTAGTATTCACCTTTGGAGAATCAGCTACCACTCCAGTTTCGTTGCGATTGTTGTTGTCGTCCTCGACCCGTGTATCCTGTCGGGGCTGGTCATCCGAATCGGATCTGGATCCATTACCTTCATGATCCGAGATCTGAAGCGCAACGAATGACGTGTCACCGGGCCTTGGAACGAGGTTGGCCCGACAAACCGGACAGGTGGAGTGAGTGGCCAACCAAGCGTCTATGCATTCAGGATGGAACACGTGGCTGCACTTTGGGATCAAACGCAGCGTTTCGTTGTCTTCGAACTCGTTGAGGCACACGGCGCATTCTAGCGTGGCCCTCCCAATCTTGAGAGCCTTCACGGTGGAGTAGACGAAGGTGGGGAAGGTGTCGATGATCTCCTGGTCCAAACCGCGCGGTCTCCGGTGGCTTCCGGCGATCGGAAAAGCAAGGTCTAGCCTCCCTCTGATACTTTGCTCCGCACACTGGCGAGTGTAGATGGAAAGAAAGCCTAATATGAAGAACACAACGACCAGGATCACCAGGACGATCGCCATGGATTTATCGAACTTAAGCTTGTTACTAAATATGTCCGGCGGTGGAGGTGTTAAAGTATTTGGTAGTTGTGCGGTTGCCGGCGGCAGAACCTGTATGATAAAAAGAAGAAGAAGAAGAAGAAGCCATGGAAGGGGATGGTGGGAATAACAGCGTAGTTGGAGAGTGAGAGTGGTCATGAGGGTTCAGGTGGATTTCATTTGCTGCAACATTAAGCAAAGGATTTGATGGTAATAATCGCAATTAATACCCAACCCTTACTTACACACGCCCGCTAATTGCTCATTTGTTCCCTTTTCTCTCAGAATATTAATGATAATTGGTTGTTACTATAGCAGATGTGCGCTTTTGATTGGGGTGTCGAATCATAAAAGACGATGCAAACATACAAGAAGAATGAGTGTTTGATTAGTTCTGTTCTGATAGAGGGACAGAGTGTCGGGGAATCGTTTATTCAACTTATTTTGTTTTGGGTCTACAATTTTAATGTAATTTGACTATTTGTAATTTGGAGGAGCCACCTGATTCACCATGGGCTTTTGATCTCAGTGACTGCTCGAATAACTTTAGATGGAAGAGTTTCAGAAGAGGACAAATTTTTTAATGTAATAAAAGGAGAAAGTTATATTTATCATCAATTAAATTTATTATTTATTATTAAATTTTAATCATTAAGTTTTGTTAATACGATGGTTATAATTTATTTAATGATATTTATTAATAAATTATTAATTTTTAATAAATTATAATTATCAAATTAACGAAAATTAACTGTTAAGATTTGGTAATATAAAATAATAAATTTAATTGATGGTAACTATAACCTTCACTGTAAGTAAATGTTATCTTATTTTAAATTTTTTTAAATAGTAAGATATTTCTAACTTTTTAATCATTCCCTATTTAGTTTAATAAATAGTTATAACTTTTTTTAAAAATAAAAAATTATCACTCTATTCTTTTCTAGTCAAACACTTCCCACCAAACATAAGCCGATTAGTCTGCCACAGTGTCTATGTTTACAGCTACAAAGGATATATGCTACTTAAAGTCATTATTATTTATTCACGAGTTAAGGTGTTTGCCTTCAGCGCCTTGAAAATGGGGGACATTTTCAGTGTTTGGTAAACAGAATGAATTTTTCATTGTAATATGCTAAGTATGTTTAATATTTGTCTATGTCTTTGTCTCCTCTGCATCTTATATCATTTTGCTTGCTTGTTCTCGATCCCATTGCATAATGCATATCCCCTTGTGGCTTCCAGAAATCAATATTTGCATTTTCTTGTCTCACTCCTAAAAATATGACTTCTAGCTCTACACAAGAAAAATAGAAAGGCCCATACATAATCATTAAAACTAATTAATGATTTTATATTATATTTTTTTAATAAAAATAAAAATTAGCAACTAACCAACTTCTGTACTATCACCAGATTACTAGTGATTTTTCTCTTTAACAAATTTTCAAACAAAATTATCTTAGGATAGGAAACGGTGGAGGGGGAGTGGGGATTACTACTTATTATGTGTTTAAGAGTAAAGTAATTTTTGGTTACTTAATAAAAATTATGAAACCTATTTTAATCCCTTAAAAAAAATTGAATTGTAGTTCCCATGAAATTTAAAATAGACTCGATTAGTGAAAATTGTGATCCTTTTGAAATTCAAAGAAAACTCATGTTAATTCCTCAAAATAATTAATATTGATTTATTTTGAATTTTTAAAGGACTATGGGTCGATTTTTTTCTTCTTAAAGAATTAAATTGAAACATGTGATATTTGTTGAGAATCCAAAAAATATTTTAATCTAAAGTTAATATATATTTAGTGTGACGCTATCGTTGAATGATTCATCCGAAAGTAGAAAAATCGGAGAAGCATATAAATGGCTCCATTGCGCATAACGAAAGGATAATACTTCTAAGTTCTTGGGTAACTGTGTTAGTATGTAGGTCAAATTGACGCCAGCAAGTTATCGAATAAAACTAATCCAAGATTATAATTGATTAGTGAAGCTCAAGCTGCTTATTATATAATTCGCATGTCTTTTTCAGTCCCCGTCTCCTTTAAGTAATTCAGCACTTTGAATTTCGTAACAAAAACGGTGTCTTTAGCGTTGCTTCCCTTGAAAACACCATTCAAATTTGTATATAGATACAGAAAGGAACTTCCCCTACGCAAATTCCAATTAAATTAATTGGTAGAAATACGTAATGAAAGTTCATATTATCTATTGTCTTGTACGCAGCACAACTTCGATGCGTCATCCAAGCTATTTCCAACTATGAACTAACCCGACTCCATTTGGCATTAAATATAATTTGCAAGTTTCCGTTTCTCATAATCGTCCCACCAAATAAAAGTAAATATTATAGCTATATAATTAATAAATTCATTAAAATTCAAACACCTAAGTTTTATATGGTTAAACAGTAACAATGTCCTTTTTTACTTACACCCCTGTATTCAGAAGTAAATTTTTTCTCAATATTTATTTTTTCTATTTAAAAGACTTTATATTTTTTTCTCAATATTTTCCCCAATACTGGGCCACGAATATAAATCTCTGATGGAGTGCAAATCACAGAGGGAGTTTCTCTGTCTATAATTTTTTGACAGTATCGTTGTTTGTTTTTGATATAAATACAAACGGGAAAAAACTTCTGTCATTGCAGAAAATATTTCTCATATTATTCATATATCTGCGTACTTTATTTTTTATTTAATTTTTTAATAATAGGACCCACTTAAAATATATGCGTGTAAGAAAACGAAAGGAGAAAAACAAAGTCCATATACAAATGGAAGGCATTAAACAAAGACAGACAAAACGAAAAAGTTAAACAGAGAGGTCCTGAAAGTATCGTTTGTTTTTTTGTGTTAATACAATTTATCTTCGAAAAGAGGGGAATCTTTCATATAAAAAATATGGGGAATATTATGTTTATAATTTTTTTATTTATATATTTTTTTAAATTACACTATATTTTAACAATAAAATACTCTTAAATGAAGTTTTTCTGAGAAAATATAATATAATTTGTAAAAAAAAAAAATTCGTTAATATAATCATAAGTGCCAAACTGTCGGCATGGTATAGTTGACTCTCATGACATGCCAAAGATATCTATCTATCCACGGCCGCATGATTAATTCGGTCATCATACGCCATTGCTTATCCCAATTTGTAATTTTATAAAGCGACTACTTTGATTCTATCTGGACGATGGTTTTGATGGAGAATTTGAAAGCAATTTCTCATCGTTTTGAATTAGCCAAATACTTTTGTTATCATGTTATGCGCCCCTAGACGCATATCCGGGTGGTATGAACACTTTTGCACCTAACTTGGGTCTTACTGCGGGTGATGTGCGCGCCTGTCTCTTACTGCGGGTATGACTAGTTTTTAATGGTTTGTAGTATTTTTTAAGGGTTTTATAAGAGTTATGTTGTAGGAAAAGTGATTATGTAATATTATAGAGATTCGTTTTGCGTGCCTTAATTTTTTATTTATTTTTTTGTTTTAAAAAGTGTGGGTCCCACAAAATGTTGTGAGTGTAGGAAAGTTTGTTGTGTTATGTTAAAGGATAAAACGAAAACCCATTTTTTAATATGTTTTTTATGAAAAAAGTTTTTGGGTTTGAAACATAGATATTACATAAGTCTAATTTTTTGTTTATCTTGTACTTGTTTAATTCCGTTAGATAGTGAAATATGTTGAAAATCGACAATCACACAAAATCGAGAAAACATAAAAGAGAAAAGAATAGAGAGATTGACACGATGATTTATTCTGATTCACCCTAATATAGACTACATTCAGCTTGTGTACACACAAGCTGTACTATATTTACCTTACTGCTACTCGTTACAATCACTCGATTTATAAAGAAAATATAAATAAGATTAGAAAATCATAACAGCAGCTATTCATGGTGCTGTCCCCCGGATCTCCTAGGGTGACTCCTCTGGACCCCCGCCCGCTCATATAGGAGCGAGATCCCAGTTACCTTTCTGCTGACCCCGACAACAAGGACCCTCGTCAGTATGCGAAACATGAGTCATACCCAACAAGATAGTGAGGATTACGTTGAATGAAAATCTTTTTAATTATTTATATTATTCTCTTATATATGTATATGTTTATCTCTATCATTTGACCAAATATTTTTCTTTATCTGATGTTTAGGCCTGTTTTTTTGTTGAATAGTCAGGGGTCTCTGGTAAATATTATATATAAAGCAAAGTCTCTCGCAATATCAATAACAAAAGAGGTAGATTATATTTATAATTTTTTATTTACAAATTATATTATATGTTTCCGCAAATATATTTATAGCTGAGTCTATTACTAAAAATACATAATGTAATTTATAAATAAAAAATTTGTAAATATAACATTCTTATAATAAAATAAAAGAAAATAATAATAATAAAAAAACACTATCAATATATTTTTTCCTCTCTCGTGCAAGTATCTCCGGAATATAAATTTTGGTGGAAAAAAATCACTTTTACATAAAATTAATTGAATTTCACATTTTTTTAACAAAAAAACTAAAAGCACATTGAATATGAGATTTCAATCGTGTCCGGCTGTATTTCGGGAGAGAAATTATTATTATTTATTTCTGTGCTTATATAGAAGTTTTTAAGCAGAAAAAATATATTTACTAACACACATTATATGATATATGTGTTTAATAAATAGTGAGAGTTTTATTTGTTTCGATTTCAAATCTCATAATACATTTTACAATATATGTATTTTTTTTTTGGTAGCTGATGGATAAAGACCAATAGCACAAACAATGAATGTATTTAATATATAATATGTTCGAAAACAAATAAAAAAAAAAAACAATTTTTTTCATTGTTTTTTCTGAACTATAAATTTTTAACCATTTCTATTAGCACATTATTATTGTCATGTACACCCTTAAACCTCATTGGGGAGGAGGCTTTCAATTGTGCTAGGCTATATTCATACACATAGGAGATGAAAAATTTGCATTTTATTTTACTTCGCAAAATTATCTGATTGTTTTTTGATAGTACTCACGCCTGTCGATGATCTTATTTGGTCTTAAGAACATAAAATATTCTGCTTCTTACCGCTGTGTATCTTATTAACATTGTGTCTGATGTTACGTTTTTAGAAATGGAGACACGATTAAATATGGATCATGGCCCATGTACTGCTTCCTTTTCCATATCTTTTTGTTTTGTACATAAAGGGCCGGAAGCTCAATATAGACAAATCATTTTTATTTTTTTAAATATTTCAATCGATTTATCGTTTCGTAATTAATTTGTTTTGAGGCAGTTTATAACCGGCCAAATTATTATGTATTGCATGATTGCAACCAAATTTTCTATTTTAAGAATTGGACTTCAAGACTTACAAGCCCTTTCTTTGCAAGACATGTAGTTAAGATCCGTTGGTTCTTTCTTCATTCTCTATTAGTAGTCGAGCTTGCGCTGTGGTTAAAACCAGTCAAATAAGTAAGACTTTACTTACGGGGCTTATCTATATTATAGTGTCTGTTTTGGATTTTCTTTTTCTTTTTTTAAGCTATAAGTTACTTATAAGTATAAGTTAGGTCA